GTCATTGATGGTTCTCACAGGGGACACATACCTGAAAATAGAGCCTAAAGATGACAGTAGGCTCTGTGAATGGCTAGCCCTTGCCAGGCAGCTCCATCCACAGCTCCATCGATACAATTGGATTTGTGCCTGAGCATGGCACACTTTGACATGTATATGCACTTGATGTAATTTTCACCGTTAGCAGTGAGTTGGAACAGGTAAAGAGGTACATACGTACTATAGCAAACGATGTGAATGAGTATAATTGGGGTTGATTAGCGGGGGGTGGGGGGGGAGGGGGGGATGCAGATGCGGAAGAAGAAGCGGAAGAGGATGCAGAAAGTGAAAGAGGGGAAGAAGAAGATTGATTTTGATGGCGATTATGACATCAACACAGAGAGCTGCGAACACCTCGGTCTACAGCGAAACCATCGCCAGGAAGGTAGAGAAGCATCGTCTCTGTCCCTCCCTCCTTCCCTCCTTCTTACTGAACTCTTGCCCTATCTCACCTTCAGGAGCTCGCGTGCCCCCTCTGTCAGGTATCTGAAATGTTCGCACAAGATTGTTCGTTGACGTGTTTTCCGCCAGTGAGCAAAAGGGCGTGAAAGCTGCAGCAGGAGATGTGATGCAGTGCTTTGGCACCTGTTGTGAATCTCTGATCATGTTTGGCTTCTTGTCTTGCAGACCAAACAATCTCGACAGATTAGGGAAGTTGGAAGGTCCAATGTTTTCATCCAGCGGAGTCTGGTATGTCTCGTCGGGTCGCGGACACGCCTTGCTGATCCTGCTTGGCAGTCTGCGGACAACAAGAACAATGAGCAAACGGCATCTGACGAGGGTGAGTGCAGTTTGCGACAACACTTTCACTTGTCATTGGACTCTTATGATATGAATGACTGACACCTTTGGTTGACCATCAGCAGACGTTCAGATCGAGTTTGATTCCCAACGAGATGACATGCAAAAGGCTGCTGTGAGTGTTTGAGCTTTCCATTCCATCAGCCCGTGTCGAGCTGTCTTCCCCTCTTGTTTCTCACTAGCCTATCCGTCTTCCACCTCTTGCTGTTAGTTCTTCACCTTCTGATGGGAGAAGTTGCGATTTTCTCTCTGTACTTGAATCTTTCCCATCCTCTCTCCCCTTCTTGCTTATCTTTCTTGCATCTTCTTCGTCGGCTCACGTTGTTTGCAGACGGCTGATCCTCTGGCGATGTTTTCCCAAGAATCAGAACCGCTCGACTTCACTTCCAACAAAGTGAGCCCTGTTTGCTATCCATCCTGTGCTACCTCCATAACTGTCAACATCGTCATCTCCATCTTTTTTTATAACCGTCACTGCAGTCATCAAAGTCATTGTCATACTCCTACTCCTTCTTATTTTCACCATGATTATCGCCATGATTGTCATTATCATCATCATTATCATCATCGTCATCATCATCATCATCATGGTCAACACCAACATCATCATCATCATTGTAATCCTCCTCCTCCTCCTCCTCCTCCTCCTCCTCCTCCTCCTCCTCCTCATCATCATCATCATCATCATCATCATCATCATCGTAATGATCACATTCGTCATAGCAAAAGTTGTCATCACGATCATCATTACGATTATTCGAACCATTGTCTTGGTCTCCTCAACGGCTTGCCTTTTCCTCATTTTCATTGCCGCAGGTCTTCGACGAGGTCTGGATGAGGGGCAAATGGCTTCTGATCCTCATGATCTTCCAAGTGAGATGTCAAACATGATGCAACGACTTTGCAACGGCGATGAATGTTGACGCGATGGCAGAGCTTGTCCGGTTTCATCATGCAAAACTTCGAGGACCTGATTCAGGTGGAAGACGAGGAGGAGCAGGATGGATGATGATGATGAGGAGGAGGAGCATGATGATGATGATGGAGATTATGATCACGCGATGATATCTTCGTTGATGATTGATTAACTGATTGATTTACGATGGATTTCAGTCGCACGTCGTAATTGCTCTCTTCATGACGATGCTCATCGGCTGCGGAGGGAACGCAGGAGGACAAGTCAGCCCTTGTTTCTTTTCTTTTCTTCTCTCCTTACCACACCTTTCAGTCTGTCGCAAAAGCTGTGCATGAGATTGCTGACCAGCACATTCCTGCTGATAAGGCCTGGCGACTTGTGATAAGTGAGTGCTTCATATCAAACCTCTCCTTCTTTTCCTTCTTGCCTCCTGCCTGTGGCCTCTTTCATCACCCCTTCTCCTCCCATCCTTCTCCTCTGAAAGTTTTCGCACCTGACTCGGCTATCAGAGAACGTCAAGTCGCAACTTCCAGTCGCCACCTGGCTCGGAGCTCTTCTCGGTCTCTTCTTATCCCTTCCCCCTCCCCCCTGGCCGCCCTCCCCCCCCTGGCCGCCCTCCCCTCCCCATCCCTTTCAGTCCCTTCCCTTTTTCCTCCTCTCCTCCGCACCTAAACCCTAAACCCTTCCCTTCTTGCTCTCCTCTACCTTGCCTCGTCTCATCTGGCTCACAGGCTGGGCCGCATGGGTTCGTGTCTGGTTCTTCCATGGAGGGTAAGACCTGCAAGGCTCCTGCTGTCCTTATGTCTGACTCCTCCTCCAGGACAAGGAACTCCGTCTCGATTGCCCTCTCCAGCACCCTCATCGTCTTTGTCTCCATCATTCTCGGTGGCATCTTACCCTACACCATGCATGCCATGGGCTTCAATGTATGTCTTCCGTCCTTCCCCTTCTTCTTCCCCCTTCTCCCTCCCCTTCTTCTTCGCCCTTCTCCCTCCCCTTCTCCTTTCCCCCGCTCCTCCTTCCACTTCTTCTTCCCCTCCTCGTCCACCTTCTTATTTTCTCAACTCCCCATCCTCTCTCCTCCCTATCCCTCCCCTTACTCTCCAGCACTCCCCATCCTTTCTTTCATCAGTGTTGACCGTCGACCGCAGGTGGTACAAGCGGGAGCTGTCATCCAGGTAGCCATGGATATCATCGGCGTTTGCATCACATGCCTAGTTTGCTATTATGTATTTCAATAACAACCCTCAACACTCACGACATCGTCAGACGGGTCTGACCTCCGCCCCACTGCTCGTCCTTTCCCATCCTCTCCTCCTCCTGGTGAACAAACATGCTCTCCCGCTCTTGAACCTCAACTGTCTTCTCCTCCTTGGCCAGCCCAGCCTGGGCAGGGAAGCAGATCTCAACCTGATCAGCATGAACCTCCGGAGCGAGGAATCCGGAGAAGTGTTGTTGGACTTTGAGGAGATAGATCCGCATCTGCCTCTGATTGAGATTGGACGAGCCGTCGAGCACAACCACGCAGAAGACTTTCTCCGGCCGCTTCAACCGCATGGAGATGGTGAACGAGACAGGCTTGTTGATGTTGGTCTGTGCGAAGGTCACAGCACGAGAGAAGATCCACATGCCATGAGACTGATCGAAGAGGCTCTCAAGCGACGTGCCAACACATCGCTCAGGCGCCATGTCGAACATGCTTGAGGCCTCTCCATCCACAGAAACGATGCAGTAAGGGCGGTACGCAGTTATCCTCATGCATGCAATTTCCTGTGGCTGCAAGCTGATCTTGGTTCGGCGATAAAACAATGACAAAATCTGCGAAACATGCATCTTGAAACAACTGGTGTGACTTGAGCAATCTATCCCGTGTACAGCCTTCCTATCATTGAAAAGAAAGCCTCTCTTACTTGGGCATCTGCAACCTAAGAAGTCAGAACATGGTAACGGAGAATATAAAAGAAGGCAGACAATGACAAGTTAATCTCAACTTGATCTTTCACATTGTGCATGCACGCTGATATTCTAATTGGGCATAACGCATTTCCAAAACTGCATACAACAGTGACATTGGAATGCCCTGCCCTGCCCTGCCCATGGGAATGCCCTGCCCTGCCCTGCACTGCCCTTACCACTCCTGCCCTTCGAGCCTCCTCCATTCCTCCCTTGACATAGTTCGCTCCTCCTTGTTCTTTCTTCGTGCCTCCCTCCCGCTCTTCTCGTCAAAGACAACTGGCTTCCTACATACTTGTCGCTCTGACCCATTTTTAAAACAGTATGTGATTTTTACTCTGATCGAAAATTTGGATCGAAATACTTGTCCCACATTTGGAATCTAAATGATAGGTTGAAATAAAACAGGCACCTCATCAAACTTAAAACTATTGTAGGAGATATCCTTTAAAAAAACAAAAAGGTGAAAGGGCCACCACTCGCCGTAGGGTCGCACTTGCGACTAGCTCGCACCCACCCCAGAAAGATACTGCTTACTTGCGGTTATAAGAGGGGTACTTCCGTGGGGGTGAAGCCCTTTAGAAATATAAAAATATTTAGTGTATTGCTGGTACTATCTCAAGGCTATCTAGCACCAAACAAATATTTTAAAAATTATCCATACAAATAACGAATTTATCATATCCCAACAGCTCCCCCCAGTTTTCATTTTGTGATACCTTCAAATTCAAATTTGTGCTCAAATTCTCCAAAAAAGGAGTACTGTGAACCTTTCACGGCTCAAGTAGACTCGCACTCTCAATAGTTCAGTAGTGTGACCGACCCCCGGCGACGCCCGGCGCCGGCCGGGCCGGGCCGGGCCGCTGAGTCACGGCACGGGTCAGCCGCGGCAGTGTCACTCAGGCTGAAACTTCCGGGCCGCCCGACCCTGACCGGACTGTGGCACTGAGCCCTCAGTGATCCGATCCGCTGAAAGCAAATCCACACTCCGTGATCTTTTCAAACCTTTCAACTTGCCAAGTTTCCCGCCGGGCCGGGCCCGGTTTCAACTAACGGTTGGCAACTTGACTAGCGCAATGGCCGGGCAGGCGCCGCCGAGTCAGCCGGACTCCGGGCCCGGCCCTCGGATAGTCTCTCAGCCTCAGGCTCAGCGCCTCGCAACCGCCGCAAGTTCGGACTCCGGCGTCCCGGCGTGGTAAGCACTGCGCACTGCGGCGGCAGATCGGACAGTCATTCACACGCCGGGTACCGTAGTACCGTACGGTCCGATCGGACCGTACGGTGACTCGTGATGGCCGCGCCCGCGATGATCGGTCAGTGTGATCGGACTTCACTGTCAATGCGGCAGTGCGGCTGGCAACCGTTCACGGGCCCCGCGTCGGACTGGGCCGGCGGCCGGCGGTCCGGGGCCGAGAGTTTCGGCCCGCCCGCCAGCCTCGCGGTCTGCCGGAGTCACTGATTCAGAGTCGGCGGCGCCGGCCGGGCCGCGCCGGGTGTGAGGCCCAAGTTCAACAGTGATTGTCCTCGACGGTACTGAACTTTAACTTTACTTTGAGTAAACTTCCGAGTTACTCAGGCTTATCATATACACCATAGGTAAGAGATTCTCTAAGTGGGCTATTATGCTGATCGCAAGAACATCCGGTCCTGAGCCTTGTTCCCAGCTCTGCCAGGAACATAAGGTTCCCGGGTGGGGCAAACCGAGTTGTACGACGAACATGCAAGGGGAGCACGGTACATGGCTATCGTCAGGCCTGCAGCTGGGCATCGGGTACGTGGTGCTGGCAGAGCTGCTGGGGATAGAGGAGGTCTCCCAGCCTCCTCACGGCTCCTGCCTTGCTCGCCCTGGACGCTACTGCTCCTATCAGAACTTCAACCACGATGTCTGTGATGCTGGTTACTTCTGTGAAGGAGGAAATGCGAGGCCCACGCCCTGCCCCGAAGGTTTCTTCTGTGCTGCAGGAGCTCATTCTCCGGCCAAGTGCCCCCAGGGTCACTACTGCGAGAAGCAGGCCAAGGCCCCAGTTCGCTGCCCTCCAGGCTTCCATTGCCCAGATCCCAATGGAGGACAAGCAAAACCAACGCCCTGCCAGGAGGGCTTCTTCTGCGAGGGCTATACGAGCAAGCAGCAGGCTTGCCCAGCAGGGTTCTACTGCGAGAAGCAGGCCAAGGCTCCGGTCAGATGCCCTCCAGGCTTCCATTGCCCAGCTCAGTCAAGCAAGCCCACGCCCTGCCCCGAAGGTTTCTTCTGTGCTGCAGGAGCTCATTCTCCGGCCAAGTGCCCCCAGGGTCACTACTGCGAGAAGCAGGCCAAGGCCCCGGTCAGATGCCCTCCAGGCTTCCATTGCCCAGCTCAGTCAAGCAAGCCCACGCCCTGCCAGGAGGGCTTCTTCTGCGAGGGCTATACGAGCAAGCAGCAGGCTTGCCCAGCAGGGTTCTACTGCGAGAAGCAGGCCAAGGCTCCGGTCAGATGCCCTCCAGGCTTCCACTGCCCAGCTCAGTCAAGCAAGCCCACGCCCTGCCCCGAAGGTTTCTTCTGTGCTGCAGGAGCTCATTCTCCGGCCAAGTGCCCCCAGGGTCACTACTGCGAGAAGCAGGCCAAGGCCCCGGTCAGATGCCCTCCAGGCTTCCATTGCCCAGCTCAGTCAAGCAAGCCCACGCCCTGCCAGGAGGGCTTCTTCTGCGAGGGCTATACGAGCAAGCAGCAGGCTTGCCCAGCAGGGTTCTACTGCGAGAAGCAGGCCAAGGCTCCGGTCAGATGCCCCAAGGGCTTCTTTTGTGCTCGAGGAGCCTCCAAGCCTGAGCCTTGTCCAGTCCCACAACTTTGCTTGGGCGGAGCTTCGACCCCCAATGGTGTCATGAAGGATAACACGGGCACCTTCCTCCTGGTGCTCCTCCTACTAGTCGCCTTTGCCTTTGCCCTCCGACGGAAGCTCGGCAGCATGACTACCACCTGCAGCATTTGCTTCGACTCCAAGCCTGTCTTGCTGTGCGTCCCGTGCCGTCAGTCTCACCATGTCTGCGCCGAGTGCCTGGAGGCGCTAGTGCTGGCGAATGCTGGAGAGGCTGAGCAGCAGCTGCACAACCGACAAATACCCGAGCACTGGATGAAATGCGTCGTGCCAGAGTGCCGGCAGCCCTACAGTGACATGTGGATGTTGTTGCTGCTTACTTCACAGACTCATCGACGGCATCTGAGTATCAAAGAGAAGATACGGGAGGGTCGTCGGGAGCAGCAGCGACAGGAAACGCTCCTTGTCCAGCACAACATGGATGCGAATGATGTTGCTGCTATACGGTTTCTTCAGCGGGAGTACAGCAGGCTACTGCAATGCCCTCGATGCGGGACTGGGCCAGTTGTCGTTCATGGTTGTTCAGACCTTGCGATGCATCAAGGCGAGGCGAGTGGTTCTGGTCGGATCAACAACTCGTGTCGCCACTGTGGCTTTTTTGCAAAGGAGATGGGGGAATGGCCTACATGGATTCCTCCGCAGTCTCTCAACGCAGCTCGTTGAGCGGCTCGTCCTGTCAACTCAGCACGCAAGAGCAGAGGAGAGAGCTCCTTCTCCACACGATCAGCTGGGCGCTCTTGCAGCTGGGGAGAAGACATGGTTGGACGGCAATCCATGAAAGGTCGGAATGTATGTAGATAGCAGGAGGAATGTGGGAGGGTCAGCGATAGAGTCGCAGCCACCCTTGATCATCGTATTGTAAAGTCTCACATCGGATGAAGGTAAAAGGCACTCGCTCGGTAAGGCAGGGAGGATCGATGGAGACTTGAAGCATTGAGATGATGCAATGAAGGTCTTTTCACACACTTCTCGTTCCTCCCACTAGTCCACCAGCGTCTCCCCTCCTCGTGTTCATCCTCCCTTCCATCATGTTGCCAGGATTAGCGAGTGTCCTAGCTGCAGCTGCTTCTTAATCCTTGAGTGCCCCGTGCGCCACTCGGGTTCCTCTTGCTGTAGCGGTGCTATACCCGGCTCATTTCACGCGAAGCTCCTTCCTTAGAGGAGGAGGAGGAGGAGGAGGAGGAGGAGAAGAAGAAGCTCTTGATGCACTTGACAACTGAGACGATAACCATCATGGCGCAGGCAAAGGCAAACATGACGCAGATTCCTAGCTGCTCGAAAAAGACGGTGAGTAGGAATTCTGAGGACAAGGAAGACAAGGCAGGAGGAAGGAGGACAGAGGTCTTGAGACACTCTGAGCGGTACTCACCAAGAGTTGCGCCTGCGCGTTGGACTGAACGCCATCAGCACCAAACGTGTATGCCGTAAGGTCTTGCTTGAGGCGCCACTGCCACAACGTTCAGAGAGAGGAAAGACTTATCCTGCCCTTCACCTTGCCGCCAATGCAGACCTGCGGCTGACCAGAGCCGCTCCCGCACCTGGTGGCTGACTCAGCACACCTGAACAAGCATGTCAGACGTGCCGAGGGCAGGAGGGGAGAGTTACTCTCTGCAGCCTCCATCATAGCATGTGCCATTCCAGTCGATGGCATTGCTAGTGAAGCTAAACCTGCTCGAGATTATTCATCAAGAAGACGGCCTCTATGATCGCATCATGCCACCCGTAGGTGTCTCCAGTCACAGATTCACCACAGGCACCGTAGTTGAGGAGGTTGTCTTGGATTGTCTGAGAGAGTCTGAGAAAATGCGGCCAACTGCAGGAAGATTACCTTGCTGCAAACTTGAACGAACGTCTCAGTGCTGGTGAACAACGTCGATCCTGAGCACTTGTCTCCGATGCACTCTTGTGCTTTCGGGTTGAATGAGTTGATCTTTCCGCAAAATTTCTTTTGGTCTGTAGCAAGGATACTTGATGCCACTTCGGAGAAAATTTCTACCCTGCCATGGCTGTCAGCGACGTGCAATGTAGCAACATCGTCCACCCGTTCGCATTCTTCTGCGACTTGATAGCTACCCCCTTCTTCAAGTACGCCTCTGCCACACACCCCCCTCTGATATCTGAGCTGTACGACTTGCACATGCTGGGGATGCGCAGCCCCTGGTACGCCTGAGAGAGGAGCTCGACTCTCTTCTTGTCGTCCGAGGCGATGGAGAGGGTAGGGGAGAACTTGGTGAGCTCGAAATCAGCAGCACAGTACTTGCCAACTGGACAGTCGCAGTCATCCATGCACTGCACGCAGATGCCCTTTGCTTCTAGGTTCTTGTTGTCAGTCGATTTCATCCTCCAGTACACGTTGCAGATCGGGTGCGAGGTGTCGTTGCAGTCGCTGTGCTTCTGGCATGCCTTGTACGAGTCTGCAGCTGCAGGATCGGAGAGCAGGGAGAGGAGGAGGAGGAGGAGGAGGAGAGGAAGGGAGGTAGAGAGCCCTGCCTGCATGGCGGGTGGCGGTAGCATTCGAAACAGCATTGCCTTGGCTAGTACAGTGTGTCCACTTCTTCGGGGGGTGGGGTAGCCGACTAGTCAAATGAATAGATAGGGAGGGGTACTTTTTGGACCTACCCCGTTATATTGGTATCAAATACACCCGTACTTGTTCAGATTGCGACCGATACTACCCTACCGCTACACGCCATGGGTTTGACCGATGTGGCGATCGAGTGGAAGGCGCTAGCGTAGGAGAGGAGAGGAGGAGAGGAGAGGGCAGAGGAGATGAGAGGAGGGGAGTCGATGGGAGGGTAGGGGAGACGAAGGGAGGGGAGAAAGATAGACGAGACGAAAGGAGATTAGCGGGTGATTGAGGAGATTAGCGAGTGATAGAGCAGCCAGAACAGAGCAGGGTAACATAGAGCAGACGAGTATGGTGCTGAGAATGCAGATATGGGCAGGGAGAAAGAGCGAGTATGTAGAAGGATCAACTAGACGAAGCTGGGCGAGTCCATCGAGACGACAGAAACGAGGAGGCTGATCAGAACGAGACGCTATTACTCTCTTACAGACAGCGACTACGTTAACTGCTTCAGAGCATCACGACATGTTCTTCAGCGTTCGAACCTGTTCAACAAGTCAAGCTGGACAGCACAGACAGCAGGTTGGTTGCGACCTCGTCTTGCGCGCTGCCAGAGAGCGATTCACTGACTACTGCCAGCCTCCTGGAGCGCGATGGGTCAGCTGCGGGGCGAAGACCTGAGATGGGGATCGAGGAGGGTACGGGATGCCGGAGGAGAGGTTCCGAGAGAGGAGACGGAGGACTTGGGGACATGAGAAAGGGCAGAAGAGGGAAGATGAGAGGGAGGGAATGAAGGAGGGGAGAGGTGGGGATAAGGGAGAGCGATAGGCAGGAGAGGAAGGGAGAGGAGGGAGGGAGGGAAGAGGAGGGGTGGGGAGGGAAAGGAAGTGGGGAGGGAGGGGAGAGGTCGAGGGTAGTTATACTTGGCAATGGCTGCAAGTTTCTTGGGGTCTGACTTGAAGTTCTTCTCGTCCATTACCTGCAGTGATGCGTGAGAACGCGAGGAAGTGAGGTAGAAGAGGGGAAGGGAAGAGAACGGAACGCAACGGAAAGGAAGGAGAAGGACAGGGAGGAAAAGGGACAGAGACAAAACAGGAGAAGGGATTGGGTGGAAAGGTAAAGGGAAGGGAAGGGAAGGGAAGGGAAGGGAAGGGAAGGGAAGGGAAGGGAAGGGAAGGGAAGGGAAGGGAAGGGAAGGGAGACCAAGACACATGATAGAAAAACAAACAGGAGCAGCAAGCCGAAAAGAAAAGAGAACAAGGAGACGCATAGAGAGGGAACATCGATGCAAGGGGGCGAGGAGGCAGAGGGTGTGTTGTGTGAGGGAGCACCTTAGCAAGGTTCTTGAGAGAAGAGGCGGTTTGGTCGAGAGCTTTGGCCTCCAGTTCCTCCTGTGAAACACAGATGTTGGGGTCGTGCTGCTACTGATGTTGGTTGATGTTGGTGTTGGTTGTGATAGCACAAAGACAGATCGAAGTGGACAGAGGAACCAGAGTGAAAACGTGATGCATGTGATGCAGGCCTTGCTACCTTCTTCTCCGTCGACTGCTTCTTCTGATTTGCTTCCTGTGAAAGAAGATCAACAAGACCATACAAGCACAATCTCACTCACCTGTTCTGCATGTTTCTTCTGCTCATCAGCAAGTTTTTGAGCTCGCAGGTAGGCCTTCGCAATCTGAAAGATGATGAGCAGAGGGCATCAAAGGTTGAACGCGGAGGACGAACGTGTTGAGAAGTTATGCCGTGTGAGAGAGCGAATTGAAGGGTGGAAATGACAGCAATTCAGAGCGACAACGGTGATTGCAAATGATAGCAAATTCATGAATGCGTTGACAATGATCGAAGTTTCGGAGTTGATGATGATGATGATGATGATGATAATGATGATGATGATGATGATGATGACAGTGGAAATGGAGATGGTGCTGGTGCTCACGACGTGGTAATTTGATGCGGGAAAGGAGAGAATGACAAGAGAACAGGTAAACAAGATGGAGGAAGAGAAAGGAATTTCAGCTGATCATCTCACCATTGCCATTGAAAGAGAGCTCTTATTCTCTTTCTTGGGCAGGTCAACTACCGGAGCTGAAACATGAGATGGCGCTGCGGGTCTCTGAAGCAGGAACGTCAGGTTAAAGAAAGATCAGTCGCAGGCAAAGGGGAACAAGGAACCAGGAGGAGGAGAAAACTAGGGTGAAGAGGAGGAAGGAAGGGCGCGGAGGAGAGTATAGAGAGAGAGGAGGAGGGACAGGAGGAAAGGGAGGAGGGAGAAGAAGAGGAAGTGGAGAAGAGGAGGAGGGAGAGAGAGGAGGATTGCTCCTTACCTTGATAGGAGCAGCAGGATGCACTAGCTGTTTCAGCGGGTGTGCAAGCGGCACGTGCGGGGACGGGGCAACTGGAGTGAAGTCAGAGAGATAGAGGGCCCAAACCGAGAAGAAATGAGGAAATGAGAGGAGAAGGAGAGGAGAAAAGCAAGAAAGGGAGAAGAGAAAAGACAGAGAATGCTCAGAAGCCGTAAGATCCGGGAGGGGAGGAAGAGAGTGAAGCTCGACCAGTCTTGTGTGTTGGCTTGACCACAAGAGGATGAAAGGGAAGGTGGCTTGCGGTCGAGCTAGCGTACTGTTCACAACTACCATCAGTGCTGAGGAGGAGGAGGAGGAGGAGAAGAAGGAGGAGGAGGAGGCGAGCTGAATGTAGGCCTCTTGCCTTGTGTAGTGAGCGAGGACGGGCGATCAACGGGTGTGCTCGCAGTGGTTGATTGCGGTGGTACCATGCCGGCATCCTGCAAGGAGGCGGTGAGGGAACTGAGGATATGAGGAGGGGAGGGGAAATTGAAGGGAGGAGGAGAAGGAGGAGGAGGAGGAGGAGGAGGAGGAGGAGGAGGAGGAGGAGGGGAGGAGCTGCAGCAGCGGCGGGAGGAGCAAGAGCAAGAGCAAGAGCAAGAGCAAGAGCAAGAGCAAGAGCAAGAGCACGAGCAAGAGCAAGAGCACGAGCAAGAGCAAGAGCACGAGCAAGAGCAAGAGCAAGAGCAAGAGCAAGAGCAAGAGCAAGAGCAAGAGCAAGAGCAAGAGCAAGAGCAAGAGCAAGAGCAAGAGCAAGAGCAAGAGCAAGAGCAAGAGCAAGAGCAAGAGCAAGAGCAAGAGCAAGAGCAAGAGCAAGAGCAAGAGCAAGAGCAAGAGCAAGAGCAAGAGCAAGAGCAAGAGCAGGGGCAGGAAGAGGAGGTGGTGGTGGTGGTGGCGGCGGCACAGAACGGGAGAAGGATGATAAGATCGGAGGAAAGGAAGAAAAGGGGAAAGAGCGAAAGGGAAGGAGGAGGAAAAATGCAACTCACGGTTGTGACCTCTGATGCTGCAGATGATAGATCAACCCATTTGTTGGCTGAAGAACAGTCAGTTCACTCCTCCTCCTCCTCCTGCTTCCTTCCTCCTCCTCTTGCTCCTTTCCTCCTGCTCCTGCTCCTGCTCCTGCTCCTCCCCTCCTGCTCCTCTTCACCTGTTTCACAATCTTCGTGATCTTCTTTATCCTCATTCGTCTTTGACCTTCAACAAGCATGTCACGAGCATACAAGGCCCTCGACCTTCTCCCTCACCGTTGAGATTCGGCTGCCCCCAGTAAACTCCTCCTGCGTGCCTTGGATGGTGAATGACATCAGCAAGGAACTCTGGTGACCCTGTCAAGACAGTCAAGAATATTTAGAACAATCATCACAACAAACAGATCTACGACTTGCACAACAAGGGTAAGTTGTGCTTCATACATCATCTTTCCCAATATCATGTTTTTCATCATCATCTCATCATCATCGGAAAGTGACAGCAGCTCTACAACAATGGCTTGTTTGCAAGACGCAGGAAGGAGGGAGATGGACAGAGGAGGGAGGACAGGGGTAGCAACAAATGAGGTCATTATTAGCATTTCACCTCCTTTCGGTCTGATCGTCCCAGCCTCTCTGACCTGATAAAAAAAAAGTTAAAAAAATTCACCATAACTACAATCGTTATCATCATCATCATCTCAATCGCCACTATCCTCCTCATCCGCCCGCTCCTCCTCCTCCTCCTCCCTCTCCTCCTCCTCCTCCTCCTCGTCGTCGTCATCATTGTCGTGCATCATCGATGACTTGTATTCTCATCGAAAGAAAACATTCCAACACAGCCTCATCAATACAGAGTCAAACAAACTTACACCACAACCCTTCTCCCGACCCCAACAACATCACATCATACAATTATAGCCATCACCAACACGAAAACATCAGCGAACAACACATCAACAGCCGTCAACACCAAATTTCTCCATCATCACCACGTCGCCGCCGATGTCGACAACGTGGTTGTTGTTCGGAACATTGTCGTCCAGACTCGACCAGAGTCCTCCCCACAGCCTCTCTGTCTCCAGCTGCAACTGCTTCAGCTCCCGCTCCCAGCACCACCCCCAGCACACAACAAGCTCACCTCCTGCCTCCTTGGTGTGCTCGAGAGCTGCACCACTACTGCAAGAAGGCAGCACGCGGCAACAGCTGACATAGCAGCTGGGATATGCTGAAGTCATTTCCTCCCCTCCTCCATCGCAGAGTCAAGAGCAGTACCGTTCAGTCTCCTGTCCTTGAGCATGCTTGAAGACAGCTCGGATCAGCAGGAGCTCATGAAATTCGCTGAGATCGAATTAGAGGAGGAGGTTGCTGATCGCCCAACAAGCCATCCATCACACCATTTAGATAATGCTCTATTCTCAACATAACATCTACTAGCATAACAAGATCATCTTCTCCCCCAAACACACAATCTGATGACATCATCCAAGCATCTACTAACATCTACTCACACCATCATCAGACATAAAACAAAGCCTCTTTGTCTCCCGGGAACAACATGTTTGACTGGCATCATATATTTGTTCCTCAGTCTCTCATTGGGAGGAAGCTTGCACGTCTGCTCTATCCTTTCCTACTTTCTCACTGCAACCACCAGATTCTCATCCTGTCTCCTTCAATCTTCTCCTAGCACAAGTGCCATGGATAGCCCAGAGGAGATAACAATTCAGGAAGACAAGGAAGAATTTTGTAAGCTGTAGAAGGGCAAGGAAAGAGGAAGGGGAGAACGACGCAGGGGCAGCGGCAGCAAGAGATCTTTCAGCATAGCCGACGAAGAAGACGTAGCGCAAGGCAGAGAGGAGGAGAATGAGGGGAACAGGGAATGAGAACGAGGAGGAGCGGGAGAGAAGGGGGGTGGGGAGGGAGGGAAGGTGGCAGTGGATGGAGGGCTAGGGGGGAGCAAGGGGAGCGAGGGGGGGTTCTAAGATCGAGACGTAGTCAAGAAGGTGTGGAAGGGAAGGGGGGGGGGGGAGGAGGAGGAGGGGAGGACGCGAACTACTCTCAGCCATCGGCATGGTGTGAAGAGTCATCTCTGAGGCAGGCTCGATGGATAGTATCCTACCTACCAAACTCAGTAAATTTTACGTAAGCGGGAGGGGTACTGAGACCCCATATTATTTTTACTTACCTGCGTGTATCAGCCACCTTGACTAGCCGTGTCAGTTAAAAGGAGAGGAAAAAACAGCATGAGAGCGTTGGGGAGAAGAAGCATCAGTTCTTGCACATCAAGAGCAACCTGAACATCTCCATCTCCATCTCCATCTCCATCTCCATCTCCATCTCCATCTCCATCTCCATCTCCATCTCCATCTCCATCTCCATCTCCATCTCCATCTCCATCTCCATCTCCATCTCCATCTCCATCTCCATCTCCATCTCCATCTCCATCTCCATCTCCATCTCCATCTCCATCTCCATCTCCATCACAATCGCCATCATCGCCATCGCCATCGCCATCGCCATCGCCATCGCTGTCATCATCAACTTGGCATTATCTTCAGCCTCAATATCAGAAATAACATCGTCTGCTCTTACTCCACAACTTCCCCAAGACATCGTGCTTCCGCTACCTCGAAGAATTCATTTCCTCGAGTCTTGCAGATCGGAATTTCTCCTCAAGGCCCTCGGAACTGAAACTTCAACAAGTCGCTGAGATCGTAATGCCGCTACCCCTCCTCCTCTCCTCATAGATCACTGGCAGTCAAAGTGTGTCTCAGCGCAGCGCAGGATCAGTCTCAGATGCCTAACAGCCATGACGAAGAGGACGGTGTTAACGACAAGTCCGAAGTCCTGGAGCAGTTCAGCCACATCCACCGACGGCTGGTGGAGGAGATGCATGCTAAGCAAGCTCACTCCCTCTCTTCCTTGCTCAGCAACGTAGAGGCGATGGACGACGATGTCGACCAGGTGCTGTCCAGCATGGACGACGAGACGCTCGCCATGCATGTCAACCCCGAGGACCGGCGGAACGTCCTGCACTACCTGGCCAAGTACAACGGACAGAAGTTTTCTGTCCTCGGAAAGATCCTGAAGCGGGTGCCCTCGTTGGCTGACGGGGCGCTGAAGGAGTCGGGGCTGCTCCCTGTACATCTGCTGTGCAGGTACTGGGGAGAGGAGAGGAGGAGGGGAGGGGAGGGGAGGGGAGGGGACAAGAAGAGGATGGACGGAAAGAAGCAACAGAAAGGAGTTGGGGTGAAGGGGAGCAGAGCAGAGAAGAGAAGAGAAGAGAAGAGAAGAGAAGAGGAGAGGAGAGGAGAGAAGAGAAGTATGTTTACACGTGATGTTTGATTTCTATCATCGTGATGAGGTCTGATACCTCAGCATGTGCTCACATTCTTTCAGGTACTTTCCGAATGAGACCAAGTCTCTCGACCTCCTCCTGCAGACTTCTCCTTCCTCTGCGGCAAGGGCAGAAGCAGAAGGTGAGACAGAGGAAAGATTGTTGATGAACGAGGACAAGGACAAGGAAGGGTCAGGGTAGGAAGGAGGAAGGGATTGCATGCCAACAACAGGAATCGTGCGAGGAAGAGAGGAGTCGGAGAAACAACAAGGCCAGATGATGGCAATATCAGCATGTTGGCAGTGATAGAGTACAAGGCTATTTTGCTTTCTACAACGTGTCCATGAAACTCCTGTCTCTTGCTGTTACCATATCAGACTTTCCTGTTGTTATCCTGCTACTACTGTTTTACATGCCGTTCAGGTTGCCTTCCGCTTCACTTTGCTTGCGCAGCTGGTGCTTCTTCCAGGGCTGTCAAGGTGAGTAAACATGTGTTTGTTTTCTTCTGTTTTGCTGTCTGTTAAACGCCCATCATCGCAGACGCTGCTTGCTTACAACCCGCAAGTACGTGACGTCGAAGCTTCTTGCTCTGCTCGTAGACATGATACCTTTTCTGACTCTTCTCTGGCCCATAATTGCCTTCATTCTTCCTTCCCCGTTGTCTCCCTCCTTCTTTCCTCCCTCCCTCCCTCCCTCCCTCCCTCCCTCCCTCCCTCCCCTCCCTCCCTCCCTCCCTACCCGTCTCTCTCCCTCCCTCCCTCCCCCCTTCCTACTTCTTTCCACCTTGGACAATCATTGTTGCTCATCACCTTGAGTTATCTAAGACCTCTACCACATCTCACGCGTCCTTATCCTCATGCTTTTTTATTGTTCTTCGTGTAGGCGATCACAGTACAAGACAGCGCTGGCTGGCTTCCTCTCCACTACTTTGCCTTTAGTCTGCGGGTGAGATGCATAGGAGGAGGAAGATAGAGAAGATGATGTTGCTGACAACGTGGGTCGAAGAAGCGTTGTGAAGATGTTCTCATGTGTTGTTGTTGATCATGATGATGATCTTATGACGATTTAGATTATGTTGGTGTTGACCATGATCATGGCAATAATAAGGCATCCATGATGGTGATGATGATGATGATGATGATGTGAAATGTCAATCTGATCCTGTTCCATGTTACCTTCTGCTGTTTGCGACAGCATTCATAGTTTTCATTTGTCATCTGTACGCCGGGAATCTCAAATCTGTTCTGTTGTCTCTTCCTTTTACTTCTTTGCTGTCAATCTTCAGTGATTGCAGCTTTGCAACTGACTTACAAACACTTGCTTGACAGGGAACAGACGATGACATTGAAACATTGAGAATCCTCAGATCCTCGTGACTCAGTACTCCCATTTGTCGCTCACTCACGCCATGTTCAGGTATCCTGAAGCTGTCTTCACAACAAACTCAGAGGGGAAACTCCCTGTGGACTGTCTGGCTGAGGTAAGGAAAGCGATATCGCCGTACCATGAAACGCACTTTTATCACCTCAGTGCATCTTCTGCTTTGTATCATGCTTCTCATGTCTTGCATGAATGTTTCATCGAGCATGTTGATTGCAAGATACCCTGATCAAGTCATTCTGATGGATATGGTTAGAACAAAGATTATGATGAATATTGTCTGCCGCTGATGCTGAGAGAATTGTTGAAAACTTTCAGAACAAGCAAGCCAACGAGGAATGTCTCAGGATTTTGTTGGAAAGCGACTGATGAGCAAACCCGTCAAAAAGAGATTCGCCAGAAAGACAAGGCATGATACGATCCTTGCGGATTCCAAGAAGTCAACTTTCTGCATTGCTTGTAGTTTAGATGTACACAGAGAGTGAGCTCTTGAGGTTACAGAAAGAATGTAATACATGAATAAGAATGAATCGTCAGTTGTCAACACCGCAGACCAATCAGCTCTCAGCGCTGACTTTTCTGTTCTTCAAGCTCTTGAGTGCAGGGAGTCGAGACCGTACTGCCATGAGAGCGAGTTAGAGCGCTCGAGAGCTAGACTGCTCAGATGAGGTCACCTGGAGATTTGGGGGAGGAGCAGGTACTGCATGGAGCTGAAGAAGACGCTCCCACATTATCGGCTGTGAGAACAGGCGTTAGTCATGGCCTATCAGAGCACACCAAGAGCACAACAGAAAGCACAACAAGTGCAATATATGTGAGGATAAGAAGGGGAAGGCGGAACAAGATAAATCAAGGATATGGAAGTGGAGGATGGGAGGTTGAAAGAAGGATAGAAGGAAGCTGCTTCAGAAAGAGGAGTAAGGGAGAAGCGTCGAAGTAAGGATCAGATATTGAGTTGGCACGCATTAAACTGAACATCGAGACAAAAGAAGACGATATCAGTAGATTTCCGCACATGACAGTTGCATTTCTTCCAGCACGAGTCTTTCTTCTGGTCTTTTGGCCTTCATCCTTCTCATAGCGTCTTGCTGCGGATAGCTCATCAATTCAGGAAACAAAAACTTGAACGATCATAACACCAAAAATGCATGAAGATGAGAAGAGACAGGAAAAAGTGCATTTAGTGGATAGCAGCGAGAGCTGATCAAGATTCAAGAACCAAGAAAAGGAATAAGTTGAGTTAACACCAGGTATCATTACAGTTTAGGCATGAAAGAAGGAACCGCCAAGAACACATGACAGCGTTCTCAAACCTGTTCCATTAGTCTCTGCTGCTCCTGCATTTCCTCGATGTACTCAAGGTGCCTGTGGAAAGGATCAAATCCCACCTGGCAAACAATCTGTTTCCGCACATCAGCTGCTCTGTCCTGCGAACCATCTCTGCGGTTTGCTCCTCTTGCAGCTTCTTGATGACTTCTTTTGGAACCTTCCCATTACATCAGCACACGACCTCCAGGATTCTCCATACACTGACCGCATTCTCTGCTAGAGGAGCGATCTTCTTTGCTGGCAGCATCACGTGAAACTGTTCTGTCTGCCCCGCCGACCCAAAGTCTGCTTTGATCTGCACAACAAGATCAGTGTTTGAAAAGGTGGAAGGAATGAGCAGAGCACTTGCCATGAGGGAGGAAAGAAGGGAGGAGGGAGGAGTTAAGGGAGGAGGGAAGGGAGGGGGAACGAAGGGAGGAGGGAAGAGAAAAGGGAAGAGAAAAGAAGGGAGGAGGGAGGAGAATAGAAGGGAGGAGGGAGGAGGGAGGAGGGAAGGGAAAAGAGAGAAGGGAGGAGGGAGGAGGGAAGGGAAAAGAGAGAAGGGAGGAGGGAGGAGGGAGGAGGGAGGAGGGGGGGGGGGAGAAGAGGAGGATACAAATCTTTGAGGGAAGAATAACTTCCACTTACCTCAGGCTCTTGCACTTGCATCTTTGCCCAGACCTTTTGATGGGACTCTGGAATAGGGGTGAAGGACGGCATTCTTGGTGTATACAGTATGTTCACTCAGCGATATGCGAGATGAAAGCACAACAGCAAGCTGGTCGTTTGTACAGCCGCTGCAATGCCTTGCGGGCAGGAAAACACACGATTTAGAATCGTGCCCTTCTTACAGCCCACGTGCAGTGTTGAAACGACTAGGAAGAGGAGGAAGGAGAGTAGAGAGGAAGAGGGAGAGGAGAGGGAGAGGGATCTAGGGGAGAAGGGGAGAGCGGGGTTTAGCAGGAGCAGCAACCCAGCTTTTCGCCGTCGAAAAGTACGGATGGGTTCTCCACCCCCACCTCCTCTACTACACATAGTACCCCTCTTTTCATACAACGGTCCTGACCCCTACCCTACTCTGAGTATGCAAACATCTTTCATTTTGAAACCACCGGTGCTCCGCTGGACATATATCCGTAACTTGGGAGGCTCTGTACTACCACCGCCACCCCTCCACCCTAGACCTCTCTAAAACCGGTATGTGTCGCGAGTCGCCACCCGTACCACTACCCGGCGCACCTGGTGTGAAAGTGAGTGAGTGACCGCTGACTCTGAGAGTAAATCGGGGGGTAGGTGGGGGGTGGTCGGATCCAGAGGGCTATGGGGGTCACCGGGTGTTTTATAGGGGTAGGCGATGACCGGTGGTAGACAGGCCAGTCAAAGTTTGAAGTCAGGGGTACTCGATGGGTCTCTGGTGAGGGATCACTCAACTCTCAGTACCCCTGAGGCTTCACAAGTCATATGACCGTTAAAAAGCTTCTCAGTTTACTCAAAGTTAAGTTAAAAAGCACTGCTCCTGAAAGCTCCGGAGTCCTGGCCGCGTGACTCCCGTGAAGATCCGCTCTCACTTCCATCATCACTGTGAGACATCATGGCGCGGCACAAGCGGCCTGCCATCCTCCGTCATCACAGTTCTGTTGTTGATCCTCTACTGACTGGCACGCCGGGCTCGTCGTCCCACTTTCCTCACACAGGCCTTGTGTCCCAAGAGAGCTCCTCTGACTCTGAGCCACGCTCACAGCAGGAACCCCTACGGACTCCTGACATGCTGGAAGGGCAATCTCGTTCTGCAGCGTCTCCTCCGCAGGATGACTTTGCCTCCTCCGCCGCTGGATCTGGAGGAGGTTCGGGGAACCAAAGACCTCGGAAGCAGGCAAGATTTCGCCGATCCATCTCCCAGAGGACACCCACCGATCAGCCTACGGTCAATCCTACACCCCCACCGCCCCCTCCTCAACCGGCAAATCTTTTCCCAGAAGACCCTGGCACGCAATCTAGCGCAGCGGCTTACTTTCATAATCTGCGTCCGCAAGACATGCCTTGTGGTACGTCGAATTGGCACAGAGCCCTCCCTCTCTTTGCTCAACAGGGACCACATAAGCTTCCGGCACTCCTGGCTCGTAATCCTTCCATTACAACCATCAAACACCCCAATCGCCAGACGATTGATAAATGGAAGAGTGCGCTACAGTTTACGTTAGACCTGCTACAAGGTTACCCTGACTTGCATTGCGAGGAAGCTAAGATTATCCGGAGCTTGTGGCATTGTCTCCCACTGCTCCTGCTGAGAGTGAATCCAGTTCTTGCAATCTCGCGACAAAACCGAGATGTGAGCTACCGTATCCACCATTTCCTCCAAGGGCGGCGTTGGGAGACATTGCTGAAACTAGAAGAGGGTGTTTCCTTTGACCAAGACGGCCCAGCGGTTGGCAGCGGTGGAGATCCGCAGGATGTCACGCAGCAGCCCACGGCGGGACTAACTGGGTCGGGACGAGGCACGAGACCGCGGGCACCGCAAGGTAGGCGCCAACAACCTAACCGTCAAAATGCAGGTCGCCCACAAGGACCTGACCGTGCGAGAGAGGGCGTGCAGCAGCCAGTGATGGAGAGCGAGCAGTTGGAGAAAAAGAAAATCCTCTCGGCTGTTGAGCATTACCAAAATCGGGATATGAAGAAAGCTCGACAGGCGCTTGTGGGCCATGGCCTCTCCCCAGATCCATTTGAGCAGCTATGGCAGCAAACTCGTGAGAAATTTCCGACGAGACTGGACCCCATTCCTCCAACGCTCCTAGACGCAGTCGGCTCCTCAAGGCAAATGCTAAGTGCTCAGCTCGACGATGCCATCCGAGCCGATGAACCGGCCTCATTGCTTGACAAGATTTTAGATCAGCGAGAGGTAGGGAAATTCCTGCGGCGATTCACTGCTTCCTCGGCCCCTGATCAATTTGGTTGGCGACCATTCCAGCACCTGCGACACATTCTCAGACTGCATGATGATCACAAACAGCGATACATTAACCTCATATTGAAGCCGATCGCGCTGGGAATCCCTTCGGGCGCTTTCCTCGAGGAATACACCAGAGGGGGGCGATTCATTCCTGCTGCCAAGTCAGTGGAAAAGAGCGGAATCCGACCTATTGTGATAGGGGACCTGGAGCGAAGGATTGTGTCTAGCATCTTCTGTTGTTGTATCCATGAGGATCCGGAACCACGGATACTCGTCGGATACTCTGCCGGATATTCCCTATATAGGCGGACGCATCTCGTGCGGACGGCCTCCTGAATTTCCCCCACTTGCATGCACAGTGAGTGTGGTGGTTGTGCGTAGTTTACCTCCTAGTAAACTTAGAGACTTCTATTTCCTGCTTCTCAAGCTGCTACCGTACCTGGTAAGAGAGGGCTGGGGCGAAGACCAGCGGCAGGAGGAGCAAGTGATGCTCCCCTCTCGTTGCCTGCCGCTGCTACTCGTTTCCCGCACGCGTCGCGAGCGGTTGAAGAGCAGCTAAAAGCTGAACATGCTGTTCATGCTGGGTTGCCATGAGTTTCTCATGGCGCTCCTGCTGGAGGGCGACTTCGCGCTTGTACTGCTCGCAGTCCGGCTTGATGTGACCCGGTTCTTGACAGTAAAAACAACGGATGGATTTCTGCTTGCGCTGGTTTTCTTTACCGTTGGACTTCTTCTTGTTCTGCCCACCGTTGGCTTTGGCCTTAGTGTGCGAAGAGGTCTGCGCAGCGTTAGCAGCAGCTGAGTTAGGCTGCTTAGACACTGTTAGCGGTTCACCATCGTCCAGAAGAGCTGTGATGAAAGTGACTAGGCGAGAGAACATGTCTTCTCCGTGTCCATACTGACTGCGATAAATCGTAAACCATGTGTGGATAGACGTGCGCGTCGGCGTATGCGAAAATCCCTTGATGAATTTCCGGAGTGGCTGATCGTTGAAGTACAGGATGGCGGACCCTACCTGCGATTCGAGCGTTGCGAAGAGTGTCGTGGCGCGAGTCAAGTACGCCCAGGCGGATTCGTTGGGCTGCTGCTTGAGCTGATCAAGCTGAGTCTGATAGTTCTTGGCTTGCCGCATTGGGGCTAGACACGAACATAGATGAGTTGAAAATTCATCCCATTTAAGCTTGTTGATGGCCTCGAGACTCTTTCCGTACTTACGTTCTACCACGACCATCACTTCGTTGGTGAACAACGGCGTGATGCTCTTCACCCATTTGCGAGTTGGGATCTCTTGAGCGATTAATTCGCGGTTGCACTGACGAAGGAATTCTTCGACAGAGCGAGGATCAGCAAAACCTTTGTACATCGGAATGCGGCTGGAATTGAAACTCTTGGAGTTCGTTAGCACATTCACGAGAGTCCGATTGGAGAGGACTGGTTCCTGATCAGAGGATTCAGCGCTAGCTGATTCCTCAGCTGAATAGATATCAGCGTTAGCATCTTGCAGGGTAACTTTCCGTGCGAGATGCGGGAGCTCTGGTGTTGCAGCAGCGTCGGCTGTCGCAAATTCGTCGGCAGCATTGGCGAGCATGTGGAAACGCTCGCCGGCCCTGCATGGTGTCAGCCAGGAGGGCACACATTCGACGAAGAAGGAGAAGAGCTCGGTCCTGCGCCACTGGCGAGGACATGACGGGGTCGGATGAAAAATTTTCCGAGCTTGGCAGACGTACCGATGTTGCAGGGGAGGCTGCTCTCTGAGTTGCCTCCTCTGATCGCAGAATACTTCGCAAGGGAGTATCCCTCTTGTTTCGGGCCCGTTGATCCGCGCTAGACAGCGCTTCACGTTGTACATCTCCATCCCTATAAGTTTGAGTCAAAGATCCACTGGTCTGACTCGGAGAAAGCTGCTGCTGCTGCAGCTGCAGCCGCTCGCTCCATTCGACTTCTTCCTCAGAACTCTCTTCAGCAATTTCTGTTTGAAATGCTCCTGATTGCTTAGATCGAGGTTGAGGGCCCCTTTCCGGCTGAGGTTTCTTTCCTCCTCTTCCTTGTTTCGAGGTCATGAATCAACCACTTCGCTTCCAGAATGTTGTATACACAACACAGAGATTGTCAACGACACGAGTAAAGTAAGGATGAAGAAGACTCAAAATTAAGTTAAGGGCCAACTTCACGGTGGCACTGCACTATCAGTCACTGAATCATATCAACGGCGTGACGGGCCCGGCGCCCGGGCGCCGGGCCCTGATGAGTACCGTGACGGTAACGTTGAACGGAAGGCCCAAGCCGCCCGGGGCCCGGCCGGGCCGCGGCGCGGCGCTCCCGGCCCGGCCCGAACTTCGGAACTTCCCGCCGGGCCGCCCCGGCGGGCGTGGAGCCGGGAGCCGCGCCCGGCCTCGCTCAGTCGGCCCCCGCGGCGCGGCATTACCGTTAATGATGCCCCCGGGCCGCTCGGAGCCTCCGAGAGTAGTGATCGGACGGTACTGAGTGGCCGCCGGGCCAGCCTGTGGCCTGGGGCCGCGGCCCGGCACCGTCCGAGTGACCCGGCGGCGGTACTGTAATCGTTCAAGTTGGCCGGGCCGGGCACCGGTGACCGCCCGGGCCAGGCTCAGCGGCTGCCACTGCTGGCCGCAGCCGGCCGGGCTCAGCCGGCCGGGCTTGACTCAGTGAACCGTACGGTAAGTTAGACGCTCCGCCCGCCGGGGGCCCCGGCCCGGGCCCGCGGCCCCGGGCCGCCGGCCCCAGGCTTCGGAATTTTGGAACGGTCACTCACTGTCCCGCGCGGCCCCGGACCCCCGGGCCGGCAGAGCCCGGGCCCCGGCTGAGCAGGGCCCGGCTGGCCGCGGGCCGGGCCCCCACCGTCACGGTAACTGTGGGCCAACCGTTGGTCCGTTCAACCGCCGCCGGGCGGCCGTGAACAGTCACGTTGACGGTACGGTCCGCCGCGGCCCGGGGCCGCGCAGAGTCAATCGCCGGGCCTCGGAGCCGCCTCGGCCGCCGACTCGGAGGCGTGCCGCCCGGCCCGGCCCCTGACAGTCGGTCCGATGTTCAGCGGCCGGGCGTCCGAGCGCGGCCTCCGAGCACGGTGACCGTTGGCGGCCGCCACCGGTGAGTCCGATCCTAGTAGGTGTGTCCTACTGGGGTCGCAGCGGCGGCCGGGGCGTGACTCATCAGCCTACGAAGAGGCCAGGGTGCAGACTTGGCGACCAGGCACGGGGGTAACTGGGGGACAGTGTGTAGACTCTAGAAAGTCATTCAGCCGTTAACCTTGTGACATGCGATCTTGAGGTGAAAGAAATAAGGCGCTTGGAATCTCACCACTACCCACCCGATGTAGCCCGTCGAGGGTAATTAAGGGGGTGAGGTTGTATTTCTGCATGATTTACAGCTATACCCCCACCCTCGCAAAAGTGCTCTAGTAGACTCTGGAAGTAGTCCGTGCACTAACGGCTGACATTCTGCTGACGTTCTCATTCTCTACAATGACAGAGTTCGGGCGACAGCTGGTGCAAGCCTCCGGTCCGATGGTCGGCTTGTACTGCGTGGAGCTGCACTTGGTGCAGGGGCCACCGTTGGGTCCGGTGTATCCGGGCTTGCACTGACAGCTTGTTGCAGAGAGGGAGTTGACAGCGCTGATAGAGTTGGCCGGGCATTCAAGGCAGCTCGTGCCCGACTTGTAGTAGTTGGCGAGGCATTGGCAATCGGCAAAGGAGGTGCTGCCGGCCTGTGCATAGGAGTGTAGAGGGCAAGGCAAGCAGTCCTTAAAGAGCGACGATACAGTCGTCTTGTAGGTGTTTTCAGGGCACTGCACACAAGTCGGGTCGTAGTAATTGGGAAGGTACTGTCCTGCCGGGCAGCCGTTCTTCTGGCAGATTCCGTTGACGATGCTGAAGCCGGTCTGGCACTGGCAGCCCTCGACAAACATGGTTGCGGGAGAGGAGGTGGAGGCGTTGGGGCAACGGTTGCAGACGATCTCCGCGCTGACAGTTGCATAGCCCTCGGTGTTCAAAGACATGAGGACCTTGCTCACCGTTAGTTGGTAGTTGACCTCATAGACGTCAATGTTGCCGTCGAAGGAATAGATGTCGGTGCCATACTTTACCTTCATGGCACCCCCTGCAATGTCGAGAACCTTGATCCTCACGCTGGCAAACGCATTGAGCCACACGGTGCAGGAGGCGCCGGATAGCGTGAAACTGGTGGTGTAGCCGCGGTAGAGCACGCTGGAGCAGCTGCCCTCTCCAAAGACATGGATGGGGTCCGTGAAGCCGTAGTAGTTGGCAGGGCAGCCGCACCCCACCCTTGTCGGGTAGTATCCATAGTTGGTAGGGCAAGCCTGGCAGGTGTTGTCGCTGGTGGCATACTTGCCTATGGCACAGTTCTCACACTTCCCGTTGGTCTCGATGGTGTTGTTAGAGCAAAGGCATTGAGAAATGCCCTCTGCCGCGTACTTGGAGACCCTCCCTGAAGGGCAGGGGTAGCAGAAGCCGGGTTCGGAGCCGGATCTGTAGTAATTGATGGGGCAGACTGAGCAGGCGCTGCTGTTGTAGCCCGTGTGGCCTTTGAGGCACTGGCATTGGAAGACGCTGTTGCTGTAGGGCGGAGCGTAGGAGTTCAGAGGGCAATCGATGCACTCTCTCGTGGTGAGATCGAGGTACTTGCCATTGTCGCATCCAAGACACACCCCGGGGCTTGCCTCATAGGCGTAGTCCGCACACAACACGCAGGTCTCTACGGTAAAGACCCCCTGCACTGCCGAGGTGTAGTTCTGAGGGCAAGTCCCAAGGTCGTACATCTGGCACTGGATGTCCTGTGTGAAAGTGCAGTCGGCCACCTTCTGATAGCCAAAGGGGCAGGAGGCAGAGCAGGGGTTGCACCTGACATTCTGAGTGTCCGAGCATTCTGAGACGCGGTAGTGGTTGGCGGGACAGGCAGCACAGTCCTTGCACAGCGTGTTGTTGTACTGGCTGCAAGGGGAGGCAAGGTACTGGTTTGGACCGCAGGCAGAGCACGACTTGCATACGAGGTCCTGATAAGGGTTGCAGGGAGACGCAATATATTCCGTGGGCAGGCAGCTAGACTTGCAGGGGATGCAGTAGGTGTCATCGTACCTTTGGCTCCCCTTGCCACAGGGCCTGAAGGGGTCAGCAAAGAAGCCATTGTCGCAGATGGAGCACTGCTTGCAGGTGTTGATGAATGTCTCACAGATGGAGAAGTGATTGTCAGGGCACTGCAGACAGTCTACGCATACCGTGTCCTTATTGGCGTTGCAAACCTCCGCCAGCCCCTTGTTATCCTTTTTGCTGCAGCCCTTGCACAGGACTGCATTCAAGCTGCTCCCAAGTACCAGGAGGTGTCGAGACAGTCCTCGACGTCGAGCGCGAGCTCAGTTGCGTCAGAGTTACAACCAGCATGCCCAAAGACGGATCAGAGCTCGAACACATCCCATTCCAGCTTGCAGATCGACTTTGAGGAGCAACAAACTGCTGCTCAGCCTAAGGATTGCGAGCCGGAATCTTGCTCAACAGTGCAGCCGTACTATCTTCGCTTGAAAGATTTCAAGAACATCCGCCGAGGATGTCAGACTACACCGAAAAGTGCCGATGAAATGACGTCATTCGTTTTGGAGAACATCACGACAGTTAAGAATAGGCTAGACAATCGCAGGTCCTCGTCTTATCCACTGCTGCGCAAGAAATCATGGACGGTTGACTCGGACATACTTTTCTTGCCAAACATGCGCACCGTGTAAAATGTCGCGTAGTAAGAAGCATAGTTTGCATGTATTCTTGTTTGTAAATATATGTTTGTCCTTCTCAAAGATTGTTTTCTGCCTAGTATCTTGTCCATACGTGCAGTTTCCTCTCTACGAGATTTCGTTGTGAAAATATCTTTCTACGTCATCAGCAGTAATCAAGGAGTCTCATAGAGTATCATTTGAAATGGCTGGTGTGTTCTCGGCAGCAGCTGCGGTCTCCATTAAAAGTTGCTATCACAACAGAAGGGGGAAAGCATGAAACAAACCACCGATGAAACAAACCAGTCAGAAAGATTTGCAACATGTGAACAAAACCATTGCTGCTCGTCTCTCAGACTCTTGATGCTACATCAGCCCGTTGACCTTGTCTTTCAGACGATTTATTAGAAGGTTGATATCAGGTCCTAGAATAACTGTCACTCTCAATGTCTTTCACGTCCTCTGTTCTCCTCCTGGCAACCCATGTCAAGCAGCAGCGCCAAGTGGTGTCGCTCGCCCCTCAGATCTCCTCGCATGGCAGCCAGTATCTCGCTGGCTTGTCATGGGATCGCTTCATGATGCCGTTGTCGACGAGTTTGGTCAGGTTGCTCGTCACGAAGTTGAGGGAGGCCGCCTCTCCCTCCGACACGCTCTTGTTCCACTCATCGCAATACTCGCGGGCCGTCAACCCCACCGCGAAGTCGTCCTCAGTCAGCTCCTGCATGTAGGACTCGAAGCTCTCCGCATGCCTCTTAGCCAGCTCAATGAGCTTGCTGGCCACTGGGTTGCTTCTCATGCGACGGTCGAGCCATCGGCGTCCCGCTCGCTCCTGGCCCGGCTGGGGGCGGGAGTAGGAGACGTCCAAGCTGAGCATGTCCTTCTTCTGACCGATGGGCTTCCGCTGGCGGAAGGTAAAGTTGGCCTTGTCCGTGTACTGAGCGGAGCTCGAAAGCGCTTCTGGCAGCATCATGCCTTCAGCTAGCTTCGTCTCCATCTCAAGGAGCCACTGCGGGTAAGCCTGGGCCGTGTCGTAGTCCATGGCGTAGGTGAGGACGGTGACATGGGAGAAGCCGTTGCTCTCGAGCGTGCTGTTCTGGTACGTCGCTCTCCCCATCGCCTGCACCATCTTCTCAATGCTCATGGCTGTTCCCAAGGCGCAGATGAGGTGGGTGGGGACGCGGAGGGAGCTCCTGAAGGAGTCCCCCCGGATCATCTGCGAGTAGCCGACAATGACAAGAGGAGTGTCGAGCCCGGCGTGTCGGTCGACCATCTCGATGGCCTGACTGACTGAGATCTGCGGCTTCGTGTTCAGCTCATCCTTGCTCGGAGCCGGGCCGTTGAGTGGAGCCTTAGGGGCAGGCGGAGGGAAGTAGGAGATGCCTCGGGGTCCTCCCACGATGACGAGGGCGGCGACGTGCGGGTAGTCCCGCTGGAGGCTGGTGGCGAGGTCGAAGACGTTGTTGATAGCGTTGACCCGGCTGTTGTTCATGACGAGCGTAAGAGACTTGTCCTTGCTAAAGGCCTGCCGGAACATCTCGTCCGTCAGATCGTTGCAGTAGAGGTTGCTGGGCTTGAGGTCCCCGTACTCGATGAACTGCTCCTCCCCGTCCACCACCAGGGGCTTGAAGTCAACCACCCCGATGTAGTCCCCCTCCGGCTTCGTGTAGAGGATCGACTGTGTGTCGACCCCGCCGCGCTTGTCCTGGAGGTGGAGGAAGACCGGGACGAGCGTCGCAGAGACGTTCCAGCGGAGCACCAGGTGGGCGACTCCTCGAAGCTGATCCAGGGCCTCCTCTAGCTGGGTAATCCGGCTCTGCCTGCGGCACAGCGACTCCTCGTCGTCAGCTCCCACGAGCGCACGGCGGTTGCGATAGAAGGAGTCTGCCTCGTCCATGATGAGCTGGCATGGATACTCGGCCGGGTTCGTCTGCTGGAGGATGGAGCACATCTGGCGGATACGATAGGCCGAGTCAGGGAGCGTGCAGCAGCCGGTCTGGAGGTACTTGAGGAGGATGCCGGGGTAGGCAGTGGGCCTCTGAACGGCCGTAAGACAGATGCACTCTATCCCCAGCTTCTTGTCCACCAGCCTGCCCAGCTCGGCGTTGATCTTGTCTGTCAGGGTCTGCACCCCGCGGTGGGTGGTGGAGAGGAGGATGGTCCCGATGCCCAGCAGCCCTGCTGTGATGATACCAAGGACCTTGATCTTGGTCTTTCCGTTCTGCGTTACCCCACCTGCTATGATCTCCGGCAGGTCTCCTCCCTCCGACACGTCGAACCTCTTCCATCCTCCCCGCTCCCTCGCGCTCTTGAGCTTCCTGACCGCCATGCGCACAGCTGCGGCGACGTCGAAGCGGTAGCTCGCCATCTTGCGGACAGTCGCAGGATCTCCGTCCGGGAACACGATTCCCAGCACGCGCTTGACGATCTCGTCCTCCGACATGTCGATGGACAATCGCCTTGCCATGTCCCGCTGATTCAGGCGGGTTTGGTCGCCAAGCTCCGGGGGCAAGGACGACACGTCCAGCTCCTCCTCACTCTCCGTATCCATGAAATACTCGTCAGACTGATCGGAGTCAGACGAGTCAGGAGTCCGTCGCTTTCTGACAAGAGCAGAAGCAGGAGGAGACGACGCCGGCGTCGCCTCGACGGCAAGCCTAGGGTCACCCTGTGAGCTGGAGGTCGAGCATGCAGAGCCCGGAGGAACTGAGAGAGGGGGGGCAGAGGAAGCGATCAGTTTCTGGATGAGATCAAAGGTAATGATGCCATTGCTGATCCACTGCTTGAGCTGCGTCTCCGCTGCCGCTGCTTCGTTACAAGCGCTCGCCATTTTGTCACTGAAGGTAGGTTGTTTTTTTCTGTTTGATGCTCAATGAGATAAGTAGAGGAAGGAGAAGGACAAGTCAACGAGAAAGAGAGGAGGTAGAAGGGGACTTAGTCTGAAGGATTCAGCGAGAGCTGCTGAGAGCGTGGGGTG